CGTATTTACGCCTCCTTTTTTCATGTGTATGCAGTTGTTGTACCTTGGAACAAGATATCTTACCTTTGTTCCTTGATACGGAGGCACGACTATCATGGGCAAGCCTTCACGGGACTAGGAGAAGGGGATCGGTGCAAAGGGTCCAACAAAGCTACCCAACAAATTCAATTTCCTTGTAGGTAATAGTTGGTACTATATGACATGTAGGTCCTATGTTTGCGCGCATATGGACGAGCTTGTCCATCACAACAATTTGCATTATAGTGAAATATACTTACACAGGTTGCTATAGTGAGAACTATGGCCATGTTAAAGTCAAATGATGCATCAAAGATATGTGTGAATATTTCCTCAACAATGACATCGTATGGACACCTGGCGTGCCTCCTTCTCCAGGTCTTGTCGGAACTTATCAAAGCTCTAGTCTTCTGTAAAATAACTACTCCTTCTCTCCATATATATATAGGGCATAATGCGTTTTCCGAGGCTAACTTTGACCATATGTTAGAGTAATAATATATGACATGCAAGTTACGCAAAGCATACCATCATATTCGTGCGTGAAAGAAGCTTCTAATGATAGAGTTGCACATTATACATCTAATATACTATTAATCTTATGAATAGTCAAAGGCAGTCCCAAAAAACGCGTTAGGCCCTATATATATGGATGGATGGAGAATATATCTCGTCAAATATTGGAATGGATGATGTGAAACTTGTCTTACATTTCATTTATTAATGCAATGTTTTTTCTAGCTAATATTACTTTGTCCTCACAACTTGATTTAAGACATGGATGAATTCATTTGAAATTGTTTGTCTTCATCAATATAATTAAAAATCTACAAGACATGTCTTTCCATCCATTCCAACTTGTAAAAGTCACAAAAAAACTTGTAAAGGTTGCAAGTGCTTAGCGGTAAAGACGAGGTGATGCATATTAATTATTAGTGGATCCACATTGCATTTAATTTTGCAGATTAGTTGGTGGAGTTGCAGATGAAGATAAAATACTCAGCATAGTACGAATAAGACATCAGCATCGAGACATCTATGACATTAATCAATTTTCACCGCAATCGACTAATTAAATTAAGGCATCCAAAGATCTTTCGTATACCTCCTTGTCTGCTCCTTTCTAGCGAAGTGTCACACTGAAGTGAAAGATATTGTGTGTGTGCGCGCGCGCGCGAGCGCAGAGTGCGTGTGTGCGTGCGTGTGCCTGGCCGGAGAATAATTGTGATATCGATCAGTGACAAATTAATTAGCATGAAAAATACTATTGCTCCAAAGATAAATGAGTTAGGTCAATTTCTTTTGAAAATAATCGAGATATATTATTAAGGTTCACCGAAAGTACAAGCACATCAAACATAATAAAAATTACATTAATATTCTGAGACCACCGAACAACCACTACTGCCATCAGAAGGAGCCGTCGACGCGCCGATGTCGCCGCTCCTATACCGGAGATGGCTTAACCTTGTCGATGACAGCGGGGAAGTCTTCGTGGACGTGCCCCTAAGGACCAGCGACCTGAAGCCGCAGTCGTCGTCGTTGAACCCCTGAATAGATCTGAAACACCTGACACCAAATCTCGCCATACGAAGAGAAACCCTAACCTCATCGTCCCAAGAAGGCAACATGAATCTACACTGAATCTCCATCGACTACGTCCAGATAGACAAACTCGAGGACGATCAGAACCCGGAAGACAAACTCGAAGAAGAAGCGCTGCCATCCGCCCAAGTGCCGCACCTACGAGGACTAAAAGACCTAACCTAAACTACTAACCGAAGTGGAGGCACCGGGATTACCCTCCCGGGCCGCCACCGGCCGCCAGAGCGGCAGACAAAGGAGAGGCAAATCTATGGTCTCGCCGGCAAAGATTAGAGGGGAGAGTTTACCCTAGCCACCAAGGGATAGGGGAGGTAGAGAAACCCCAGATAAACGAGCTAGGTCAAATCAACACATCATGCATGGACATCAACTCTTGTATTTTAGTTTACCTAGCGTACTGTAGGGGCTGCAAAATATCATTTTCACCTGATTTAGGCGACATAACCAGATTTGGTTGAAAGGATTGTTTTCTCCTATGCATTATTGGCCCTCTGGAAAGGGAGGAGCCACTCAGAGGCCTCTAGTACTGCAGTGAACTGCGGTGTCACTGCCCTATATAAGGCAAAACCTCTCCGTTGCTTCTTTGGGTAGCGCTGCACGCTCACTGAATAATTTGGAGGGGATTTGCTCATCATAGCATCTTCTGCAAGCTTAGGAAAGATTTGAGGTAATTAAGTCTTAAGTCTCCTCTTATAGTAATTTATGGATAAGTCTTCTGTATTACATTCAGTTTGGTTTAGAAGGTTCTTGTAAACTTTTCATCTATCTAGGTTAAACTGTGCTTTTTCTTTCCTAATTAGAAGGTTCCTCTCCATCATTTGCATCCATCCAAATTAAGTCGGCGACATGGACGACTTGGCCCTGTTCATGGAATGGGCCATGGACTCGCTGGAGCAGGAGCACCCAGACCCAGTGGTGGTCGTCAGTGGCGACTCCGGCGACGCAGCCTTCCCCTCGCTTCAGGCGCTCCGTGAGCAGCGTCTCGTCTTCGAAGAGCTGATTACGGGAGCCAATCCGGCAAGCAGCGGGAGCTCCGGCGAAACCACAGACGGCAGCGGAGGCTATGGTGGCAATTTCTCGTCCCCGGCGGCCATGGAGCACGACGTCTGGCCCCTGTCCCCGAACTCGGCCAGGTGCGCTCCGAGGCTTTGCAGGAACGGTGCGGGCACCAGCCTTCCCGTGATGAGCTGGAATTTCTCCGCGCTGCCGGCCAGTGACGGTACACTGGACAGCGGCAGCGCCGGACCTGTCGTCCCGGAGACGGGGTCGCAGCCCACGAGGAGGGCCGCCGCAAGGAGCCCCACCGGCACCGGGCCCGTGTCGTCGGGGCCGCCGTACGCGCAGGACCATATCATGGCGGAGCGCAAGCGCCGCGAGAAGATTAACCAGCGCTTCATCGAGCTCTCCACCGTCATCCCCGGCCTCAAGAAGGTGCGTACTCCGATTTGCTTCAACACCTGCTCTTATGTTAGTTCTTCTTCCCCGTGAAAACAAATCATCTCAGTGTAGATCCATATACGTATACGATTGATTCAGATGGACAAGGCGACGATCCTTTCCGACGCGACGAGGCACGTCAAGGAGCTGCAGGAGAAGATCAAGGCCCTCGAGGCAGCCACCGGCCGCGGCAGCAGGAGCATCGAGACCGTGGTACTCGTCAAGAAGCCCTGCTACGCCGCCGTTGCAGACGAAAACGGCTCGCCCTCGTCGGCGTCGTCGGGGGCGCCGGCTTCGAGGAACCCACTGCCGGAGATCGAGGTGCGGTTCTCGGAGACCGGCGTGATGGTGAGGATCCTGTGCGCCGCCGCCAAGGGGGTGGTGGTGAGGGTGCTGTCGGAGGTGGAGGAGGGGCTCCACCTCACCGTCACCCACGCCAATGTCATGCCCTTCACGGCCTGCACTGTCATCATAACCATCACGGCCAAGGCAGGTTTTCCTTGATTTCACATTTCGGTCCAATATAGGGCCTGTTTGTTTCATAAGTCCCAGGATTTTTTTAAGTTCCAACTTATAAGTCATAAGTCCTTGCCTGTTTGTTTACATCGACTTATAAGTTCCGAGTCCCTGCCTGTTTGTTTACAGGGACTTATAAGTTGATAATCATTTTTCATACAAACGAATTACAGAATAGTGACAACCGAAATAACACTTATTCATAACACTTGTTCATACAAACAATTAACACTTGTTGATAAGAACCAAAATAATAGAGAGTACATAACAACCGAGATAAAAGAAATTACAAGCGAACAACACTTGTTCATATCATTGTTGTTTCAAGGACCACAACCCATCATTGTTGTCATCATCATCTTCAAAGCCTTCATTCTCGTCGACATCTTCTGAAGACGCAGCAGTTGACGACACACGTTGCTTCCCCGCATTTTTTCCTCTACTGCCGGCCGCTGAGGACCCATTGCCTCGACCTACGCCGCGTCCGGTGACCTGGGACGAGGTCCTCCCACGCCTTATGACGCCTCCCTCAACGGCAGCTGCGGCCGGGGCGACGAACGGACGCAGGTTAGAGCCGCCTCGGCCTCCGATGTTCAGAGACCGGCTGCGGCCTCCTCCGCCCTGGGGTACGGGCCTCCCACGACCACGTCCAACCGGAGGAAGGCCATGACCGGCCGACTGGTCAAAGAGAAGTTGTTGGTACGAGCCCAACTCCGGGAAGACGTCCGTGTTGTTGTTGAGATCCAAGAAACCCATTCCCCTCCCGAGATTTCCACCGGCGGATGAGCCTTCGGGTGCCTCCTGAGACAAGGGGAATTGAGAGAAGAAGGGGATCTCGTCTTCCTCGCCGGCCATGGCGGCGGCTGTTGAAGCTGCCGGCGGCGGCGGCGATTGGTGCGACGCGAGCGAGGCGACGAGGGGAACCGAGGGGGCGATGCGGTACGAGGCGAACAAGCGGCGTGGGGCGATGCGGTACGCGAGGCGAGGAGGGGATCGAGCGGTGCGGGTCCAGATAAGTCCCAATAAGCTCCTCCCTGAGGAGCTTATTTGATAAGTCCCTAATCACCCCAATAAGTCCCAATAAGTCCCTCCTGTTTGGCTTGGATTGGACTTATAGGGACTTTTTTAAGTCCCTAAACCCATAAGTCACTGGAAACAAACACCCTCATAGACAAAAAGAGTAATGGTACTTCCACGTAAAGAAAATTACCTACGTGTTCTACGTAAGCCGCCACATAATTGTGATTGGAGAAGGGGGGGAAGCTAGGGGCCCCACCCACCTGAAAATGTGTGTGTGCGTGGGGCTAGGAAGGTTACGTGAAACATTTTGCAAAGCTACATAGGTCTAGGATTATCGATCCATAAAAGTCGAGTAAGATTTTTCATGTCTAATCATATTTGATCTAGCTCCTTTCACTTATCAATGGCCTAGCCAGACTTATCATCAACCGAACATATATGATACTCCTCTGTTCACTATTATAAGATGTTTTGGATATTTTAATACAAACTATATACAAACTGAAATGAGTGAACAAATACACTAAAACACGTTTATATACATCTGAACCAGAAAAAAGTTAGAACATCTAGTTAGCGGAGGGACTGTATTTCATTGGTAATCAACCATTGTTACACTCGCTTCATAATGAGGTATTCTCAATATATATTAGTAATTATAATTATTTTTTAATATAGTTTCAGGGCATGAAATTTCTACACTCACTTCTACATGTATCTCAAAATGTGGACATCTGACGGCTAATTAGAGCATCGACTTACATATAAGACAATCTCAAATGACTTAGATATACCTAAACCGGAGTGATTAGCAACTTGGACCAAAAAGACATTCATGTCTCGAAGACAATGTGATTTCAATGCTGGAAAGTTCTGTTTTAAACTGGGCTGTTACATAAAACATATATTCATTGGTTTAAACCGGCCAGTTGAAACCTTTCAGCAAAATAAAAATTGAACCCAGCAAAAATTAAAAATTGGATATCATACCGTCATAGTTGTACTACGATGGCCTTAACTAATGTCGCGTACAAAATACATAATCTCTCCCGCATTATGAGGAAGCTTCTTAATTTTCTTAATTTGCAAGACATGGTCAATGCATAGAATATTCCACAAACGTACTCCCTCCGTTTTTATTTAGTCCGCGTATTAGCTTTGGTCAAAGTCAAGCTTTGTAAACTTTGACAGAGTTTATAAACAAAAACATGAGCATATACAATAACAAATCAATACCATCAGATTTATTAATAAATGTACTTTCACATCATATAAATTTGATATGGTAAATGTTTATATTGTTTTCTATAAACTTGGTTAGACTTTACGAAGTTTGACTTCAGTCAACTCTAATATGCAGAGTAAATAAAAACGAAGAAAGTACTATCGTAGAGCCTACATATAAGACAACCACAAATGACTTAGATTTAGCTAAACCGAAGCGATTAGCAACTTGGCCCGGAAAGACATTCATCTCTCAAAGACAATGTGATTTCAATGCTCGAATTAAACTGGGCTGTTTACACTGAAACATATATTCATTCTTTTGGCTAGTTGGAACCACTCAACAAAATAAAAATTGGCCCAGGCAAAAATTAAAAACCGGATATCATACCGTCATAGTTGTACTATGATAGCCTTAACTAATGTTTCGTACAAAATCCATAATCTATCCCGCATTATGAGGAAGCTTCTTAATTTGCAAGACATGGTCAACATGCATAGAAAATTCCACGAACGTACTATTGTAGAGCCTACATATATATTTTGATGACAAGTAAAGCTACATTTATGGGGGATTTGTTATGGACCGTACCGACAAGCTGACATGGCGAGATTTGGTTGGAGAATAAAAGGGTAGTGTCTGTAAATGGTTTAGCATTTTTTTGTTTGATGACCAGTATTTATTGAACAAAAACATAATTCTCAATCTAGCCAATCCTGCATGCTCCCCTGGGAAAAAAGCTAATCATGTTTGTTCATAAGTATTATATTCATCTGAATGAAGTAAGAGAATACAATGCTGGTCAATAGCTAGTTTGCATTTTGTTTTCAGGTGGATGATGGCTTCACCGTTACAGCAGAGGAGATCGTAGGAAGACTCAACTCTGTGGTGGAATTGCATAGCAGCTGCACTTCTACCGAAGAAAAATGAAACAAGAAAATATAACATGTCATATGTATAGTACGGAACATATTATCCTGTATAATTAAATTTGGAAGTGGTGAGAGGGAGTGCATGCAGGCATGCATATTTCTGACGAGAATGTCTAGTTGAACCATACATTCACATGTTTATGTTGGTGCAACGACAACAACGGCAAAAGCTTGCTGAAAGATCAAGCCAAGTGGATGATTCCAAACGAAAATGACTGGCGTCTGGCTGCACGCAAACTGTGGATATTCCTTTCCGAATATTCTGGTAATAATATCCATTCATCACGCGTGTACTATATACGTGAGGTAAATACACCGGAAGTCTTAGAACTTACGCGTGGTGGTCAGTTTGATGCACAAACTTGCAAAATACGTCTTTCTGGTCATAAAACTTGCGCGGACGTGCAAATACGATTGCGTGTGTATTTGCTGCCTGCGTGGAACGCCAGCCTGGACAGGGCCCATTGTCAGTGGCTGGGAGCGGCTGAAATGCAGTGCACGTGATTTTTCTTTTTGCAGAAACACCCTCAGTTGTTTTTAAGTTCATACTACAAGTCAGTGTATGGTTTAACAAATCGAGCTGCAAATAAAGAATCGGTGTGGGATTGAACAGGCGCCATGTCACTTTTGTGCACGCCTCTAAACCAACCCACCTGATCTGCTTGTGCTTAATACAGACGGCTAATGTATACTGTATATTCTTTCGAATAAAAGTACGCATCCTGAGCTATATTTTCTTTTCTCTAGATTTTAAAATTTGAAATTATTTGGATTCAAACAAAATTTCTGCTGATTTTTCCGAAAGAAAATTACGTACATTCATTCCACACTAGAACTAGATTTTCTTTGATTTTGCGGGTACAGATTGTTGGAACATTAATATGACACCAACTAGTTGAAAATGGCGAAACATGGCGAGACAAGAAATGAGATACCAACTAGTAGTACTGCAGTTGGAGGACCCACACCGACACTTTCCGATTGTCGGAACATTAATATTTCCATTCCAGCATCCGAATCCAGTTTCTTTTTTCTTTTTTCTTTTTTCTTTTTGCCAGTACAGATTGTTGGAACATTCATATTCTCCACGACGTGTCGACGTCGATGCCAAGAGACAAGGGTACTGGCCCTCTGCATTAGCGGACTGATCAGTGAAGTTCTGATTTTGAAGGTTCAAACTTATTACTTTTTTTTTTGAAGGTTCAAACTTATTACTTATATCAGCTGACGTGACGAAAAGAACACTATTGGTACAACCAGGCCGCACAGGAAGTGCATTTGGTGCGATCGGCCGGTTGGGCCGCATTTGCATGGGCCCTGCCCACGCGGCCTTGTCCGTAATATGTCGAATACTGTTAGCGCCAGTAAGCTAATTAACGCCGACCCCATGCTTGCCACTTTGCTAGGGGAGCAGAGCAACCTTTTTTCTGAATATACCTGTAGCACATAGTGTACCATGGCTTTCCGCCAGCAAGCAAGCTCATAAAGTTGCTTTGGCTCGATCTCCAGCTGCACTGTGATTGTACGACTTGTTTCATCAAACTAGGGATGCAAGTGGACCGCGTCCCCGTATGTACGCCCTCGACCGCCGAATACGAACTAATACATCGTTGCTTTAATAATGAATGATGGTCAAATTACACCCCTATCTATGTAGGGATGAAAATGAAGTGGAAACGGACGGAACTGCGTGCTACTATATTTGTTTTCATATATTTTTGCAGAAGCGGAAACGCATACAGAAACCGCGGAAATAAATACGGAAACACATATACTATCAAAAACGTACACAGAGTGAATACAAAGCGGACATGGAACAAAAATGACTATTGACCGGAACATAAAATCGCCTTGAATACACACGAGAAAGATTTTTTTAATGAATTGTTAATGGCTAAACTAATAAAATTATTATGTTAGCAACTTATGGAGTGCGGCGTTTCGGTGCTCAGGCTCATCTGCATCCGTCCAGGAAAATATCACAAAAAATACAAAACAAATTCAAAAAATTCAATTTTTTTTGTATGGTAGAAAATTTATCACAGGAGGTCCGCTAAAAATTTGAGATCATTTGGACTTCTGAGAATTTCTCAGCAAAAAAGCTAAATCGGGTAAGAACAGTGCATGGACAGTAAACATTTTTATAGGCCTTGAATTTGTCTTTTTTGCCGAGAGCTGCTCACATATTCAAATGATTTAAAAATTAAAGCGTACCTCATGCATCAAATTATCTACCACACAGAAAAATTGGAATTTTTTGAATTTTCCTAATATTTGTTTTGATTTTTTTCCATAAGGGCGGATGCAGCTGAGCCTGGGCTCAGAAGTGGATTACCGCAACTTATCATAATATTGTAGTAGTACTGGACAATAGCGTATAGGGTCAAGCTGAATACATGTGTGGTAATAGAAGTTGGACCTCAAATGATCCATTCTATTCATTGTGTCATTATTTGTTGTTTGGTGATTGGGCGGCAAGGCACCTATAGGTCCATAGTAAAACGAAATTTTCATATTCACAGAAACGGATAATTCCATTTTCATGCCCGTTCCACCGGGAAATACCCTTTTTTCTAATAAAAAATTTCCATTTTCACTTTCTTTTTGCAAATTTCATTTCCGTTTCCATTTTTCCTTCGAAAAAGCAGAAAGTTTCCACCCATTTTCATCCCTACCCCTACGGATGTGTGTGGACGTTGTTCGCCTGCATCCCTACTTTAAACACACTACTTAAGGAATCATGCAAAAAGGATAAGTTGCAAAAGAAAAGTTAATACAATAGATCTTCAAAAACACTAACACTCACACGTGTGGCAACATTGCAACTCGCCCACACGCCTGGATCACCGTCCAGTTAAGTTTGCACGAATCTTGACAAGGCAATTTTTACGTGCCACGTAGGACAAGGCCGGTGTGTGGGCGTTGAAGAGGTCGCCCACACGCCCCACAGCACGCGGTTGCCAGATGCGTTGTGTTGGCGAATTAGTTTCTGCTCACACAACCACCACCTAGTCCACGTGCGTGTGGGAGAACTGCTTTTCACCCACATGACAGTCGTACGTTGTTGGATGGCAACTGCAGTTGCGCGTACATGGCAACTAGGTAAACACACATGAAAACTATGATTCGTTTGCTAGACGGCAACTGCAGTTGCGCATACGTGACAATCAGGTAAACAGACATGGCAACTGTGATTAACCACACGTGGCAACTAGATAAACACACATGGCAACTATTGTTTAACCATATGTTACAAGTAGTTAATTAATCACACACGACAACTATGATTTGATTACACGCGGCAACTACCATAAATTAGACATGGCAACTTTAGTTAACCAAAACAGAGAGAGTTGCCATGCTTTTACAACCATATTTGCCATCCCAGATAACTACATCTGACATCCCGGATGGCAACTAAATCGTCACACTTCACCATACATGGCATCTCATCAACCACACGACTTGTGTTTCTCTTTACATGTATGGGAAATGCTACTTACGGTATTTCTCTCAACATGCATGTTGGGCTATATTCAAACTTTTTTCTTTCTACTTTGACTTAAATATGTAGATTCGTGAGGTGAAAATAGTATGTTAAAGATAGACTATTTTTGCGAAAAAAAAATTAAAGGTGGACTTATCACACAAACAGTTAGTTTCTACAAATATGTTCCTATAAATATTAATGGGGACGGTGTAAATATCCAAATGGTATTTATGCAAAGATGGAGTAAATATTACATCATGTGAAGGGACAAGAGTACTATCTAACTGACAAGCTCTTTTAATGTAATCTTACCATAATATAGCCCTTTGCCGATAGAGAAATATTAGTATTTTGTTGTTGCCTTATAAAAAGTTGGAGTGGATTGATTTTAGAGCCGTTGGATTTCAATCGAAC